ACTTTAGAAGAGTGTATAGTTCAGTAGCAGAGCATTTGCCTAGCATCTGCAAGGGCTGGAGTTCAATCCCCAGTGTGGTGCAAAAATAAATAAATAAAAATCTATTGCCACATTCAAAATACACACACACACACACACAAATCCAATGAAAGACCAAGAGATACAACTACTACATTTCCTGGTTTCTGCCTGGGAAACTACTCACAAACACTCCTGTAAGTATTCCCAGAAGAAGACTGCAGGTTAATAACTACTATTCCCTTTCGTATTTCCCATCTCACCCCTAAAATTCTGGACACATAGAACCATAGTAAAGAACACAAATGTCTGTAATAAAGGCTGCACAAGCCAGGCACAGTGGCACACACCTGTAATCCCAGCAGCTAGGGAGGCTGAGGCAGGAGGCTGCGGCAGGAAGATGGGGAGTTCAAAGCTAGCCTCAGCACAAGCAACTCAGTGAGACCCTGTCTCTAAATAAAATACAAAAAAAAGGGCTGGGGGCTGGGGATGTGGCTCATGTGGTCCAGCGCTCCTGAGTTCAATCCCCAGTACCAAAAAAAAAAAAAAAAAAGGCTGCACAAAAAATACAACTATATATTAACTATTAATTTGACTTTAGATAACATAAATCTTCCCAAAAGCAGCCCATCATTTACAAAAACAAATGAAAGTCTTAGTCTGAAACAATTCTCCCATTTCACTTTATCAGATATCAAACTACAACTATTTACCCTTTAAGGCAAAGAAGTAAATTATTTGATTGCTACCGAACTTCATGGTGAATCAGCCACAGTAGAAACGTGCAATTCTTGAAAACTTCAGGAGAATCAATTAAAAATAGACCACAATTCCAACAATAACAATTTTGAGGAACAACAGCTTGAACAACTTATTTACCCTGTAAACACATTTAGCATTTTATCTAAAGCACTGTAGGTGAATCATTAGCTTTAGGGTAAAGGTTTACATAGTGCCTGCTGTATGCCAGGAACTTAGTTGCTTTATGAACTATGCATGCTCCAGGTGCGTGGTCAAACAATAATACCTGACATTTGTGGAATACTCTCACTCATCTCATGTGACCCTGAGAATACCCACAGTCGTGTTTTACAGTTAGGGAAACGGAGGCCCAGAAAAGTTAATCTGGCGGAGGCGTGACATCTGGTTTGCAAATCGGGCTCAGACTCAAGTCTTTTGACTCATAATCTAATCATCTGCTATGTGAAGTTACTCAAATGCTCTTGAGCGTTCCAATGAGAGATTTTGAAATTAAAATCCTACTTGACGGCTTTCACTATTGTGCTTGTCAGATTCTATTAAGAACCAAAACATTTTTAAAAATGTAAAGTCCGTCGTCTTTGCGCGTCGAAGTTCAAGCTCGCTGGCTAAGCCTGAAGAAAACCGGCGTTTCCTCCCGGCTTCAGGGCGCTCCCGGTCCCCTCGGGACGGCCTAGCGCCACTCAGCAGTGGGGTCCCGAGCGACCGAGAGGACCGAGAAGCGAGGAATCCCCAAGCCCCGCTCCGCCGCCACAGCCCTCGGCGCCCGGCGTCCGCCCGACCTCCCTCTGGCGGACTCTGCCAGACAGGCTCCCGACCGACCGCAGCCCGTGCGGGACAGCCGGGAGTGGTCGAAGCCCCGGCGGCCTCAGACTCCACCCCGGATCAAGACGCGCTTACCTGCTTGGGCCTCGAAACTGCCTCCTTGGCCGGCCTGCGACGTTCCGGACCTTCCGCGAGGCGCGAGTCTCCGAGTGCCACTCGGGTCTACTCCGCCCGGCCCCCAGCAGGATCGCCCGGGCTCAGCTAGACCGAGAGCCCCGCCCCTCCCACCAAAGCCCGTTTCCTATTGGGTCCCGTTCCCACCCTCGTGCGCGGCCCGCCCGCGGCCCCGCCCCGCACCCCCTGTGGGGACTCTCTCGCCTTGAGTCCGCGCACCAGCCAAAACCTTGCCCAGCGCCTCGATCGCCGCGACGCTAGGGCCCCAATAGGCAGGCAATCGGCGCCACCCGCGTCCGGCGGAGGCCTCCAGCCAAAGCTCCCTCGCCCACGCCGGGCCTGCGGTCAGACAGGCCCCACGCGACGGACCTGAACTCTACGTGACGCTTGAGTCAACTACCAGCGAGATTAAGCCCGGTTTAAGAGCGGCATCATCTCACTCAAGGAAACTATAGAAATTGTCGCCTGCCCAGTGCTCAGGAGGCTTGCAAGTCTCTAGGAAAACTATAGCACCGTTTTTTTTGTTTATTTGTTTTTTGCTTTTTATGGTTGTTGTTTGTTTCTGGCCGAACTCAAAGAGCAAATATTTCTCAGGCAATTGCAAGACAGCGCCGACTTGAAACGTAGGGAGATGCAAATGGCGCTCCGAGCACCTGAGACTTAAAGTCCAGGTCAGGGCTGCTTTTGGTATTCACTCCCAGAGAGCAGCCGCCACGCCCTGTTGAGACACACATGCAGAAGCCTCGCCTGCAACACTCTGTTGTTCAGGTATGTGCATGGCACTGTGCCTGCTGCAAGCGTAGCCCAGTTTCACTTAGGCTGCTAGACTTGGATGAGTGTAGCTGTTTCCCAGGCCCTCGCTCAACGCCCAGCCCCACCTCGCCCCGCCCCATTCCACCCACCCCGCCCCACCCAACCAGACCTTCTTGAGTCTAGAGACCAAACTCTTCCCACATTTGTTCACATAGAGGTACCAAAATAGAAGATTGCCAGAAAGAGAGGTGTTTGGTTACACTTCACAGATGACTGTCACAAGCCAACTTAGCAAAGCAATAAAGGCAGCAGATCCCAAGCTGTTGTGAAGCTATGAGCTGTGAACAATAATACACACACACACACACACACACAAATCCAATGAAAGACCAAGCCAACTTAGCAAAGCAATAAAGGCAGCAGATCCCAAGCTGTTGTGAAGCTATGAGCTGTGGACAATAATACACACACACACACATACACAAAAATCCAATGAAAGACCAAGAGATACAACTACTACATGGAATAACATTTTATAATGGAGGAAGGGAGTGACAACATTTTTTTAAAAGTCATGTCCCAGTGAGGAAAGAAATGTGAATGTTGTTTGTAATAAATTTTGAACACTGATCTTTATGAATTGCTCATCCCTTATCTAATATAATTAGAAAGCACCCAAAGTAGTCGTCCAAGATGAGATTTTGAACTTAAAATAGTATGGTTTTGAAATTTATTTTTTGAACTTTGCACTTAGGAAGATAACTGGGCAAAATGAGGCAGATTGAATTCCAAGTACCAGATATGAAACCAAATGCGGGTTGTGTGGATGTAATAAATTAATTCACATGCATGTATTCTACTGCCCTCTTAAGGATAAGAAGAAGGTAACCCTGTAAGTCTGAGAATTGAGTGTTTAATTTAGCAGTTTGTATTATTTTGATGAGTAGGAGGCCAATTAAAATAAAACCAGGTTCTTGAAGGGACTTACAAATACTCAGTACAGACCTTCAACTTCAGAAACCAGGAAGAAGAGTCTTTTTAAACCAGAGCTAGTACAAACATGCCGTCAGGGTCACACCTATGCTTTTGGCTACCTGTACAGAATGTGGAAATAATGCAGGAATTTGCTTTCATTTTTTTTGCACTTGAAACATCATTGTTTTCTGAAATGTTTCACACAACTCTATCACATTTGTAGTCCTACACTCCATAGTTCAGTGCTGTGAACCATTTGAGGATAGAAATGAAATCTTATTATTTATAACATTAGTGTCTAAAATAGTATCTGATACTTTAGATGTTGGACCAATAATTGCTTATTGAATAAGCTGAATGAAATATCAGCCCAGCCACCAGATGGCAACAAGGTTGTGTGTATAGAAAACATGTGGTATTCATCTGGCTAACCGAAATTCTACCTGACCTTGAGTAACATGCATGTTTCTGAAACGTTAAATGTATATCTTACCTTGGTAAGCTAAGAATCCTCTTGTAAGATAAATTATCCCAGAGTATAATAACTTATATAAGTACTAATTTTTTATATTAGAGCATATCTGCTCTGGTTTTGTCTAAGAAAGCCACTGTTTACTTGAATGCTATCAAAGGACTTTTTTTAATATTTATTTTTGGGGTAGAGATGGACACAACACAATACCTTTATTTTTATGTGGTGCTGAGGATCAAACCCGGACCCCACCAGGTGGTGCTAGGCAAGCGCTCTACCGCTGAGCCACAATCCCAGCCCCTCAAAGGACTTTTAAAAAAAAATTGTTCTAATTAGTTATACATGACAGAAGAATTCATTTTGACACATTGTACACAAATGGAGCACAACTCTTCATTTTTCTGGCTGTACATGGTACAAAGTCACAGGGGTAGTGTACATGTACACAGGGTAGTAATGTCTGTGTCATTTCAAAGGACTTTTTAAGGGTTCTAAAAGCCTTAATCAGGCTTAATTCTATAAAAGCAAAAGTCTATATTCTCCCAATATCAAGTCATTTGCTTGTTTTTTTGTTTTGTTTTATTGTGTAGCTTTAGTAACTGTTTTGCCTGAAACTCATGAAAACTCTGGAGTAAGACAAATCTAGGTCCCCACTGCTATACCTCACTAGGTGTATCCTTGGCAGATTATTAATCTTTTTAGTTGCTGTTGTTCTAATTAGTTATACATAACAACAGAATGCATTTCAGTTCATTGTACACAGACAGAGCACAGCTTTTTATCTCTCTCTCTCGTAGTATACGATGTAGAGTTGCACCATATGTACAGTCATACATGTACCTAGGGTAATAATGTTCGGCTCATTCCGCCATCTTTCCTACCCCCATGTCGGTTATTAATTTTATTAACATTCCCAAAATGTAGATAATATCTGCCTTTTCAAGTTGTGAAAAAGATTAAATGAAATAAAACCAGTGGAACATCTGATACAGTCTTTCATATAGTAGGAACTCAATAACTGGTACTATTATTATTTAAACTCTACAACAAAAATCTCACTCATATTAGTATTGGTTTATTTATTTTATTCTGTTGATTTAAGACCCTCAGCAATTAAATTGAGCTCATAACACCAGGTTTCATAACGATAGGCCATGCGGATTTGGGCTACATTTGTCTTCCGGATATCATTTCCACTAGGGCCTTCCTCAAGGTAATTGTTGCCCAGAAACTTTGCTTTCTCCTATAAAAGAAAAGGAAGCAGAATGTTGTCTCTTCCCCTCGCCACCACCTCTGTTATAAACAATAACAGAATCTCCCACAAAAATTTATTCCTTTATGTTGGCCACAGGCAAAAGAAAAAAAAAAAGTAAACCATTACAAGCACTCACTAGTGCTTCAATGTGCATAATCTATTAAGAAATGGTGAGCAATTTTGTTTCCCTTACCCAAGGTATGGCCAAAGAGATAGAATAATCTTTTCTAGTCCCTGTTTCTATCCACAGCAAATGCATATGGTTTGTAGAGGGAAAAAATTTGGGGGGTGGGGGATGCAAGGGATTTAACCCAGGGTTGCTTTACTACTGAGCCACATTCTCAGCCCTTTTTATTTTTATTTATTTATTTATTTATTTATTTATTTTTGAGACAGTGTCTTGCTAAGTTACTGAGGCTGGCCTCCTACCATAGCCTCCCAAGTCACCACATCACTACTTCTGGCTTGGAAAATTTTTTCTACATGTGTTTCTCTAATATTTCAACATTCAAGTTACCAGACCCTTTACTCAGAAGGGTAGCCAATCAAAGACAGTTCTACCTCATGAGAAATTCCACACTGCAGAACACTGTTTCTTGCTACTTCACACATATCACAAGTACTCAGCTTGAAGACTTGTGCAGCAATGGCATATTCTTCCATCAGGGGCTCCTGCAGTTTATTTACATGAAGTAAAAGAAAATGAGAGAGAGAGAGAAGAATACATTAATAAAAGAAATAATATGCATCTTGCACGAAGAGAATAACAAGGCACCTTGATTGACTTTCAAGTTTTGGGTGGGAAATAACCATTGAGGAAAATGTTCTTGTATTGCTCAACATTCCACTTGTGTACCTTGGTGAAGTGGAATTGCATCGGGTCATCCGTAGATAGTGAGATCATTAGCCCTTTCTGGAGGAAATCTAAAAAAGGATTTTTTGCATACTCGAGAAATAGGCTGTTGTTACTTAGTGGTGACATAGCAATGGGAATCTGGGCTAAGAAAAACAAGTACTGTAACACAGGACTCTGAAAAAAAAAAGATAAAAAACAAGTTTAAGGAGAGTGAAAGAGGAATAGAAACTAGAAACTTTAAAATCTCTTGTTCTATGTGGAACTTCAGCTTCCAACAGAATTATCACCTGCTCTTTAAACTCTTAGTAAAAGAAGGATTCTAGTGTTTCAATGTAAGTACTATCCAACATAAATATATTTTGGATTGTACATTTTCAGAAGCATTGAGTCAAACCAAGTTGTTTATTTGAACTTTAATTGCTTAAGTAAGATGGTCTTAGGCAATTAAAGCTCAAAAGACTTCGCCCTGAAACCTACTTTTCCCCAGCCACACGGAAGTTCTGACTCTCACAAGAGACATTTTAAAGCATGCTACAACAAGAAATCTGGCAAAAAGTAACTCAAGGTAAGCCAAACCACCCCTGAATTATCCCTTTTCAGTGTTGTAAACCAGAAGTCAGGAGATCTGCATTAACTCATCTCTGATGGCAACTAGGTAGGTAATCATGTGAGTGCCTTTGCTTCTCTCTATAGAATAAATCACACTCAATAATCTCAAAAATCTTTTATGCTCTCTTGAATTTGATTCCAGTGCTGGAATCAAATACGGTAGGGAGAAAAAAAGACACCTCTGTATCCATGATAAAAATTAATATTAAGAACAGTCTCCAACTTACCTTTTTTAAATTCAGGCCATGAGAGATATTGTCTGCTATCATGAATGCTGTCATGAGGTGGGTGATAGCTCCAGCTTCCCCACAGTGGGGACGGAACAGAAATGTATTCATGCCTCGTTCCCTATAGAAATAAAATTGCCAAAGGAGTTGTAGGTTCCAGGCAGACTGGTTTACAAGAAAATTCAGTAGAAATGCTCTGGAAGAGAGCAGCCATCCAAAGGATTCAGCAAAACTGGCAATCCCAATTCAACTTCTTAATTCTTCCTAAATACAAACTTTTTAAAAAAGAGGTAGCAAAGGATATGGAAGTCAGGAGGTAACTAATAGTTGAACTGAAACATCTTCAGTCTCAACAGGAGATGTACCAGCACCACCATCTCAGCATTTCTGTGCTTACACTTTAGGGGAAATGGTTCCAAAGAACTCCATTAGGGACTGGGACTATAACTCAGTGGTAGAGCACATACATGCTTAGCATGTGTAAGGTCCTGGGTTCAATCCCCAGCACCATACACAATCCATTATAGTCCTCCTCTACTCCTTATCCAGAGACAACAGGAAAGGTAAAAATAAGGAGTTTTATAATAAGTTGCACAATGATAAACATAAATTCCTAAACTTCTAATGAAAAGGAACTGTGAAAGTTAACTGAAGTCACCAAAAATGTCTAATTTTGTCCCTAAATAAATAAAGAAATGGAAGAACCAGTTAAAGAAAAGAAACTCTGATTTGGGTCAATGGGACACACTGGAGTTGGAATCTGTGGAGGACCTTGGAGGGCTGATGCATGAGGACAGAGCTGTGACAGACAGGCCCTTTCTTCAGCAGTTTTATTTCCCTCCCTCCTCCCCTACCCCTTGCTCTCTCTTTCTTTCTTTTGGGGTGCTGGGGATCAAACCCAGGGCTTCACTGCATGCAGGGCAGGCCCTCTGCCACTGAACCACACCCCCAGCCCCAGTCCTGGCTCTCTGGTACTTACTTTCTCAGGCTGTTGAGCACCATGATGTTTGCATACATGTAATAAGAATAATAAGTGTAAGATGGATTCTTTTCCATCGTCCACTCCTGAGGTTTGGGACTCTTGAAGGAAAACATGTGACCACTGTGTTTGGACTCATCATCCACACTGTCGAAGCCAGTAATCTGTCAGGAAAAGTGAGCCATGCAGTGGGTTCAGTCCAACTGCAGAGTCCCTGTGTTCAGATAAACTTTCAGTTCCAAAGACAAGGACCAAACGTAAAGAGATAAGCACCAAGAATTATTCTTGGCCAGGCCGGGGACTGGTTTATGAACAGCAGTATGAAGGCCTGAAAGGTCATGCTTACGTGCTTGAGGAAGACACTGAGGTCTGGGTGAGCCTGGGGGTTGATGGTGGCCTCAAACACCGGCAGGAAAATATTCTCCAGCATCTTTCCAAAGTGTGGGAGGAAATTCTTAGATCGGAACACATCACTGGAGGCAAGAATAAAGAGAAATTAGAAGGAAAGGAGAAGGTTTTTTTTTTAGAATTGATGGCCCCCATATGAGAGAACCAGAGGATCAAATGCCATGTACAGAAAAAAAGAACTGGAATGTTCACCCCACATCCACTCCCATATATTTTTCTTGCTTATCCATAAAGAGGGGTTCAGTTTGGGATAGGCAGAGGAAGTATTTCTAGACTATGTGCCATCTCTTCTAGACCTTCTCTTCTACAAACCCTCTATGGTAAGAAAACTAAGCCTTCACAGTTACATCCAGATAGAGAATGAGCAAAGTTTCAGTTATTTATACAAGTACAAGGTATACAAGTTGGTGAGCATGAAACAGTGATCAAGAATATCTCTGATCTGGGCTGGGGTTGTGACTCAGTGGTAGAGCATTTGCCTATCATGTGTGAGGCACTGGGTTCGATCCTCAGCACCACATATAAATAAATGAATAAAATAAAGGTCCATCAACAACTACAAAATAAATTTTTAAAAAAGAATATCTCTGATCTGTGGTACTACACAATGTAATATTACTCAGCCACAAAGAAGAATAAAATTATGGCATTTGGAAGTGGACACTAGTATGCTAAGTGAAATAAGCCAATCCCCCCAAAACCAAAGGCCAAATGTTTTCTTTGATATGCTGATGCTGACTCACAATGGGGGGTAATGGAGTTTCCCTGGATAGAACAAGAGGAAATAGGGGGAAGGGAGGAGAGATGGGAATGGGAAAGATAGTAGAATGAATTGGACATAAATTTCCTTCATTCATGTATGAATACACAACCAGTGTAACTCCACATTACGTGCAACCACAAGAATGGGAAGTTATACTCCGTGTATGTATGACATTCTACTGTCATATATAACTAAAAAGAACAAATTAAAAAAAAAATTAAAAAAGAATCTCTCTGATCCATGGTAACAACAGACAATTATATATGCCAGCCGCTGTTCTAAGAAGTGGCCAGAAATATCAGTTAATTCAATCTTCATAAAAATGATAGGTGCTATTTTTACTCCTTTTGAGAGATAATGAAACAAAGGCACAGAGAAGTCATGTAACTTGCCTAAGTAACACAGCTAGTAAGTGGTAGAACCAGCATTCAAGCACAGCCAGTCTGGAGCCAGAGTGCGTACTCCTCATCACCATACTCTACTGCCTTGCTACCTTAATGGTATTAGATGGAAAGTGCTACCCCTGTCAAAAATCTACTTTTTTTGGCCTAAGAGACAGGATAAAACTCTTGCAGTGCCACAGGGCACACAGAACACCTGGGAGGTTGCCAGAGAACACATAAACAAGTAAGTTAGATAAAACATCAATGATACTGAACCTATTGAAAGAGAAACTATCCCTGAAGGCAGTGAGTGATGATGTGTGGCCTGAAAGGGAGCCTACTTCCTCACTTCCTCCGCAATACCAGTTTGGGACTCTTGAAGGAAAACATGTGATCATGGAGAACTTGAGCACGTTCACATGTGGGTGGGACAATCAGCAGACCGTGGTCACAATACTGATACAAGACAGCTACATCCCAGTACAGATGAATGTTGGAAAGAATGAACTGGACACAGAGGAGACCAGGAGAAAGAAAGTATCCACTGAAATGTACACAGTTCTTCTTTTGGCTTGGTGCTTATTTAGATTCTGGTTCCAATATTGAACTTGAAATGCTCTTTCTAATTCCTGTATGTGGTCAACAGTGCTGTACCCAGAGTGGACAGAACCAAGCATCCAGGGCCCTGTACTGAGGTGCTACTTCAACAAAGCTGATTTCTGTCTACATGGTCTGCATGTTGCTTGTTCAAGCAGGGCCGCTGAGGCAGGTCATGGGAACAGGCTATAGGCTTCCCATGGGCAGGTACATACTAGATCCTAGGGACCTGGATCATCCATGTCATGTTGGGGCAGTAGATGCGGTTGCTGACAAACCAGGAGGAGAGTTTGTTCCACTCTTCAGGGCTGCGGCCATAGATGGACAGGCGGGGCTCTGCATGCTGGTACTTGGCCTCCACCAGGTCTGCACCTACCTCCTGCAAAGCCAAAACAGGAATCCAAAGCCAGAGATTCCCACCAGCCCCTCAGGGGTCTAAGCCCATGGGATCTAGGGAGAGGAGATGGTTACTAAGAAGAATGGAGGGAATGTTAAAAACAAATAAACAAACATAAAAGGAAAAAATATTTTGGAAAATATTTCTCAGTGAAGATCTAATGGCTCTCAGAATTCAGGAGGAGAATTCAGTGAGGATAAAAGACTCGTAGAACCTGACAGAGACCTGAGAGAAAAAAGTCAGACTGAAGGTGATGAGGTATCTGAGGTGCCCGCAAAAGAAATGCAGCTCTTCATATTTCCTCTCCCCGCAAAACACACTGCTCCCAACTCCACGTGATCCCTAAGACACAGGCATCGTGAGGATGAGTGTGGATTCCCACCCAGCTCTTCCTGAATTTGCACCCCAGCACCCAGCTCTTCCTAAATTTGCACCCAAAGCCTGGAAAGGCCAGGTCCTTAATCCCCAAGCCACACCCTTAACTTTAATAGAGGTCTATTAAAATTATTAGAGTGGCTGCTTCAGAAGAAATACTTGCATTCATTTGGGTAGGACTCGACTCCAGAGATAAGGAACCACATCTTCCCTTCCCTCCTTCCTCAAGAGCCATGCCAGTTTCCATAGATCCAGTTGGTTCATCCCCTACCCCCCATTGTCCCCCAAAGATCCAGTTGGTTCATCCCCTACACCCCTTCCTTCCCCCCAAAAGATCCAGTTGGTTCTTCCTCACCTTGATGATAGTGGCAAAATATTCTCCGTTAATGTAGTTATCTGTCTTCAGGTAGAGGTCCCTTAGCTCGCTGGCTCCCACAGGATTGTATTTGTCATTGAATTTATCAAAACGCTGGAATGTCTGGCGCCCCTGGATCAAGAGACAGGAGTAGAACCGTAAGATTATCAGCTGTCTGGACACAGAGTGCTAGGGAATGGCCAAGAGGAACAGGGAGCTGATAAAAGGGGAAGGGGTTGGGCTCTGAGAATGAAATCTGAGACAAATGACAGACAGTGAGTGAACTTCAAAAGTGGCTTTCTGTAAGGGTGGTAAATCAACATAATTGAGAGGACAGTGAGAAGCAGAGTCATAGGAGAAAGATATGTGGGGTTTTGAGATATGTTCACCTACAGCGTGAACATCCAGAGAATCAACAGTCAGGTCGTATGGGTGCATTTTTAATTTAGTAAAGAGTTCCTTCAGTGTCAGAGTCTTCTCTTGGGTGCTGTAGACCACTCTGTCAGCATCAATGTGGTAAGATTTCTTAATAAAACGCAGCAGATGTTTCTGGTTCATGCAGGCAGCTGCATGGATGTGGGTGTCCACCTGTGTGCGTATTCAGAGAAAGAAAAACCAGCAATCAGCTTTAGTTATACTACTACTCTGTTAGAGGCTATGGTGCCTGCAAATCCCACTGTGGCAGAAGAATGGAATAAATATTGGTGGTAGGAGCTGACAGCTGGTGGAGGTGACCCAGCAATAAAGAACCCGTTTTCACCCTTTCTGTGCCTGTGCAAGGATGTATAAGATTTGACTAGATGCAGTCATAGTGCTTGCTTCTCCTGTGCATGCCTACATCCAATATACTTCCACATTTGACCCACACAGAGTTCTTGGGGACCATTCTCCACCCCAGAAATACAGTTAGAAGTAATGTAGCTATCATAGCTTTCCTCTCCAAAGACGATAGGGTTGAAATGATGAGGCTATGGCACAGTGATGATGTTTATGAGACAGATATTTTTATAAGTACGATTTTATAAGATGAAATGTTTGGGGTTTGTTTTATTTTGTTGGTATTGGGAATTGAATCCAGAGGTGATTTAACACTGAGATACATCCCCAACTCTTTTATTTTTTTCTGTTTTGAGACAGGGTCTCAGTTACTGAGGGTCTTGCTAGTTGCTGAGGCTGATTTAGAACTTGGCAATCCTCCTGCCTCAGTTTCCCAAGTCACTGGGATTACAGAATTATAAACTAGGCCACTGTACCCAGTTTATAAAATGATGTTTTGACAGATTATTTATTTGTCCAAAATTAGACATAAAGCTGAAGATTTGGGCCTAAATTTTTGTTCAGATGTTTCCTATTCCTACTTTCTGCCAATCATTTAACTTGCCAGAACACATACTGGAAGTGTTTCTAATTGATTGATTTTCACAGTCATTAGCTCATTGGGTATTCACAATTTCACAGAAGCTGTTTTGAGCAGATATATTTCCCAATTTTACAAATGAGGACACTGGAACTCAAAAACTATTATTTAGTTACTTCCCCCAAAGTTTAAACTCAGGAAGCAGAAGAAAAATAACTAGAAGGAAGATCTTGTAAATCCTAGAATTTTAACTCGTGAAGTTTTTTTTGTTTTTCTTATTTTTGTTTTTGATGATAAGTGCGGTGCTAAGGATCAAACCCAGGGTCCTGCCCATGTTAAGTAGAATGCTTCCCTCAAGTGTGTGAAGCCCTGAGTTTGACTCCCAGCACTACACACACACACATACACACACACACACACTTATAATTTTTTATGCTAAGAGTTTGGTATATCTTTCTCTGGAACAAATAGTAATTTAGACATAGTCTCTCTGCTTTCACTAAAAATCCACAAAACCTGAGAAAATTTTGATTAATTAGAAAATAGTGTTCTTCTTGCCCTTTTCAACAAATCATTGGATTAATGTTTTTGCCAGGAATTATCTCTGAGTATCTAAACTTTTTACCTTCCTGCAGTTATAAAAATCTCGGTGGGGGTTGTTTTTCAACTCCTTAAGCTCATCCATCTCATTGAGCATCTGATGGACTTGGAACTTGGAAGAGAGGAACTTCAGGCGACGGTGGGTATAGGTCTTACTGTGAAAAATAAAGATCACGTAATTCTAAAACAGTCCGAATATTAAAGGAAAAGAAAACAATCACAATTTCAAAATCATCAGAACCCTTATCAACCAAAGGAAACAAATATTAGAACAAATGTTTCAGGCTTCTGTACAGTTAATCTCACTGAAAAGTACTGAGTTCCATGTGGGGCGTTTGGCACATGCCTGTAATCCCAGCTACTTGGGAGGCTGAGGCAGGAGGATCACAAGTTCAAGGCCATCCTGGAGAACTTCAGCAGACCCTGACTCAAAATGAAGTTTTAAAAAGGGCTGGGGATGTAGCTCAGTGGCAGAGTATTTGCCAAGCTTGTGTAAGACCCTGGGTTCAATTCCCAGTACTACCAAGAAAAAAAAAAAAAAAAGCATTGAGCTCCAGTTTTTCATCAAAGTTGGACATAATCACAAGGGAGGACTTGGGAAGGCATTTTAATATCAGTGGTGACAGTGTTGTCCAAAGTTAATGGTCCCAGCTGAGCATAGGGCAGACACTTGTAATACCAGCCTCAGCAATTAAGTGAGACTCTGTCTCAAAGTAAAAAGGTCTGGGGATGTTGTTCAGGGATAAACTCAGGGAATGTAAACCCTGGGTTTGATCCCCAGTATCATGAAAAAAAAAAAAAAGTTGAGAGCCCTGGCTTTGCAGTCAGCAGATTTGGGCTCAGATCCCTTTTCAGCCATCTGCCTGACTTTAGATAAGTTACTTAACTCTACAAAGTTTCAGCATATAAAACTATAAAAATGCTTCATAGAGCATTTGTGAAAAATCAAAGAAATAAGGTAACCAAAAGTTTAATATAGTATTTGAACAGAGTGAGCATTTGATAAAAATGTATTCTTATTGTTAATAATAGTAGCACTGGTTGTTAGGTCTCACTAAAAAACTTACACAGGTCCTTGGGCAATTAAAGCAAGCAGAAAGTTCATATCATCTAAGAAGTCGGTCAGATTTGGGTAAGGATATGGCTTGGGTTCATCCTTGCTGGCTGCTGCCTCGTTAGGATAGATGTAAACCACACCGTCTTTCATTTTGAGGTGGTAGCCCAGGTTTGCTGGAAGGTCATCTGCTCGGAAGGGGTCTTCTCCCTTCTTCGGAGGAGGGGTAAAGACTTTTTCAATAAAACAGAGTAATATATCAGCACATAGGATGAATGACCATGTAAAAGTAACCAAAATATGAAAAACTACAATATATCATTAGTTTGGCATCCCATACTTCATAAGTTATAATTATCCAACTGTATTTAATTTATCCAGTAAATAATTTTTTTTCACATTATGTGTTCAAAGATGATTAAGTTCATAGTATAAAATGACTATAATAATAATGTTTCATCTAGTATAAGAATAATTTTTGAATTATTTAGAAGTTCACATAAAGTAACTGATATACAACTTAAATAATTTTAATTTTTTACTGAAGTTGGTCATTATAGGCTTCCTGTTTAGAGCATTTTGTTGGCGGGGAGGTACCAGGGATTGAACTCAGGGGCACTTGACCACTGAGCCACATCCCCAGGACTATTTTGTATTTTATTTAGAGACAGGGTCTCACTGAGTTGCTTATTGCTTTGCTTTTGCTGAGGCTGGCTTTGGACTTGTGATCCTCCTGCTTCAGCCTCCCGAGCTGCTGGGATTACAGGCATGTGCCACCGCACCTGGCCTGTTTAGAGCATTTTATTATCCTGTTAAATAATTGCAAAGAGCTGGACACGGTGATATATGCCTGTAGTCCCAACTGCTTAGGAGGCTGAAGCAGGAGGATTGCTTGAGCCCAGGAGTTCAAGACCAGTCTGGGCAATACAATGAGTGAGACTCCATCTCAAATAAATAAATAAATGATAAAATAAAAGAATTGCATAAAAGCAAAGGTAAAACCACAGTTAAGAAAGAGTTTGGATGGTTACCCTTGAACCCAGGGGTACTCTACCACTGAGCTACAACCAAGCCCTTTTTTGTTTGTTTGTTTGGTACTGGTGATTGAACTCAGGGGCACTGGACCACTGAACCACATCCCCAATCCTATTTTGTATTTTTTATTTAGAGACAGGGTCTTACTGAGTTGTCTAGCGCCTCACTAAGTTGCTGAGGCTGGCTTTGAAATTGTAAACCTCCTGCCTCAGCCTCCCAAGCCACTGGGATTACAGGCATGCCCCACCACGCCCGGCATTCCTAGCCCTTTGGAATTTTTATTTTGAGACAGGGTCTTGCTAAATTGCTGAAGCTGGCCTTTAACTTGTGATCCTCCTATTTCAGCCTCCTGAGTTCCTGGGATTCCAGGCATGTGCTACCATGTCTGACTTAGATTGTATTTTTTATTTAATAATTTTTTTAGAAGCAGATTTAGGTAAGCAGAAAAATTAAATGGAAAGTACAGTTTTCATATATCCCCAACCCTCATCCCACATGGCCAGCCTCCTCCACTATTGGCATCCTGCAGTAGAGATTATGTAACAAGTGTTATAATTGACAGGCCTACATTGACTTGTCATTATGACTGAAAGTCCACAGTTTTCATTAGGATTTATTCTTGGTTTGGTACACCCCATGAATTTTGACAAATGTACAATGATATGTATCAATCTTTATAGTATCATACAGAATAGTTTTCTAAAGTGGTTTTAATATAAAGGGAGAAATAAAATCAATTTTTATTATAGGAATTATAATTTTAATTATGTTTACCACCTTTTAAAGCACATATAATTTCTGCTAAAGGAACTTAGAAAAGAGGAAATGGGTAGGGGCTGGGGATGTGGCTCAAGCGGTAGTGCGCTCGCCTGGCATGTGTGGGACCCAGGTTCGATCCTCAGCACCACATACAAACAAAGATGTTGTGTCTGCCTAAAAAAAAAAAAAAAAATTAAAATTCTCTCTCTCTCTCTCTCTCCCTTTAAAAAAAAAAAAAAAAGAGGAAGTGGGTAAATGTTGCCTTCTTTCCACTGCTGACAATTTCAGCCTAAGAAGGCCCGGGATACATTCCACACTGGCACAATTTTTAAGCACTCACTCCTTTATTTTCAACAATATGGTCATTCATGCTTGTGTAATGCTGTGCCCAAGGAAGGCATCACAAAATCTCCTCTTTGCAAATGATGCCTAAAGTAGTCGGAGTGACAAAAATAATAAAGCCTATCATGATTAGCCAGGCATGGTAGCACTTGCCTGTAATCCCACTGATTGAGGAGGTTGAGGCAAATTTGAGGTCAGCTTCAGCAATTTAGCAAGACCCTGGTGACTTAGCAGGACCCGGTCTCAAAATAAAAAATAAAAAAGGCTGGGGATACAGCTCAGTGGTAAAGTACCAAGTTCAATGGGAGGAGGGGGAGGGGAGGAGAGGGGGAGAGGGAGGGGAGGGGAGGGGAGGGGAGGTGGGGAGGGGGGGAGAAGGGAGCTAGGGGCGGGTGGAGGAGGAAGAAGTTTGAATATTTCCTATTCAAAACTGGGAGATAGGACTGGGATTGTGGCTCAGCAAATGCTCCCCTAGCACGGGCGGGGCCTGGGTTTGATCCTCAGCACCACGTAGAAATAAATAAATTACTAAAGGTATAAAAAAATGTTTAAAAAAAGAAAAAAAAACTGGGATATAAGAAACACCAAAGAAGGGAAACAATATGTGGCCATATTAAATAACAATTTTATAGTTTTTATATTTAAGTATATTAGAGAAATTACACAGGCAAGATAACCATTCTAAAGGTCAATATTGTAGAGGATGGGCAAACCAATATTATGAGTCACCAAAGTGGACAAATGTTTAACACGATTACAGAGATGAGCTCATAGAACTTGAGATCTTTGATAATATGACGATTTGAAAGGTCAAAAAAATCCAACATACTTGCCTCTCTAGAAATTTCATTTCTAGAGTATAATCCTAAAGACAGTTTCTCAAAGATATTCATTGTAGCCTTGTTGGAAATAAGTTTTTAAAAATCAGAAATACAAATGCCTGAAAGTAGAAATTGGTTAAATCCAGTATGGTACAGGTAGTAACACAATAGAAATCTAAAATTATCAAAGGCTGGCTATTAAAAAAAATCTGCATTTAACTTACATAAAAGGTAGGAAGTTAAAACTGAGATACGCAAATAAAATGCTATAGAAATTCAGAACACAGAGTTCACTTCTATCCAAAGGTCAGAGACAGGTAAGAAATGAAGTATTTGGGCTGTGTCTTGAAAGATGAGGTTGGAGCTACACACTGGGACACAGGGTCAGTTAGCAAGGGGAAGGGCCATCTGGAGACAGGGAACAGCCCAGCTGTCCAGGAGCAAGAAAGTCTTGAGCTACACGAAGATCAGGCAATACTTCCAACTATAACGAAGAGTGCATAGGGTAGAGTAGGACAAGAAGTTTAGAGATAGGTTGAGCAGGCAAGTCCAAAAAGAAACAAATAAAATGCAGTTGGAGGCCAGATGGCCACAGGCCTGGAGTGCCAGGCTCAAGACTGGACTTACTTTGAAGTTAACAAGAGCAGCTGAAGGTTTCCGGCAGGAAGAGGAAGTGCTCACATCTGTGTATGGTTCCCCCCACCAGCAGTAATGGGATTGGACCCAGGGATGCTCTACCACTAAGCATCACCCCCAGCCCGTTTTGTTTTTTATTTTGAGACAGAGTTTCAAAAGTGAGGATGAACTGAAAGAATGTGAGATTAAAATGTATCGGAGTAATTTGGAAGGTACCACAATAAACAAGGAGAAATATAGACCTAAATTAGGTAAGAAAGAACAGGTTTAAAGAGATGCTGTACAAACTGAATCCAGTGATTTTGGACATGTGGGGAGCAGGCAGAATGGAGCCAGAGAGGACTATGATATTTTTAGACTGGATTACTTGCAATCTAGGGGCATAGTTTAAATGTACTACTATTTAGTAGTTAAATCAAAGAATATATCCTTATTCATTTTATTTATTTATTTATTTTTGGTCCAGAGGACTGAACTCAGGGGTGCTTAACCACTGAGCCACATCCCCAGCCCTCTTTTATATTTTATTTAGAGTCTTGCTGAGTTGCTTAGGGCCTCTCTAAGTTGCTAAGATTGCTCCTGTCTCAGCCTCCCAAGCCACTGAGATTACAGGCATGCACCACTGTGCCCGGCTTCCTTTTCATTTTATAAGAAAATAAGTTACCTGGATAGAAGCTTTCATTGGCTACCCAAGCTTCACCATCAATGTTCCTCAAGTACTTGGAAGGGGTTTTCGGGAACCGCTGAAATGACTTCTGCATGTATTTCTCCCGTATACACAATGCCCGATACAGACCCTTACAAACCACTTCAAAATCTTCAACTGTTACCTGCCAAGAAAATGTCAGAGCATCAGAGTCCTGTAAAAATCTAAATGGTGGGTGGAGCTTATCTCTGGCACCTCCCAGCTCACCTATGTATTGGAGGCCATGATGAGCCTCACCTTCCTTCCCCCTGTTTTTGAATAGATTTGGATTCTGGGTCCACTCCAGGAGCAGGTCTGGGAGTTTTTCTAACTTGTCTCCACCAAAACATACCAGTCCTGTGAGTCTTTCCCTTATAGTCTTATATTTGTTTTTTGTTTTTTTTTTTTTGGGGGGGGGGCATGATAGGAATCAAATCCAGGGCCTTGCCATGCTAGGCAAATGCTCTACCATGAGAATGTTCTAATTTCTTTCTCAACCCCAGATCCCCTGTTTTGGTTTTTGACTTTTGCTACATCACAATGCTTATCCTACAAATATGATTAAAAGAACTCATTCTAACATGGTATATATTTATTTCCTTCCATGGTATATACTTTTTCCTTCAGATTGACTTCTGAAGACAATCTCTCAATTGAAAGACAATGCAATTCTAATCGTGAGAATTTGAACCACTTGTTCAGTCAGGGAAATATTTTGGGATAAATACAGTGTCTTAAATCCCTCAGACCCTATCACTCAAGTACTGCCTTCTGCAACGACTGATGGATCAGAACATCATCCTGTAACAAGTTATTCCTGTGGATAATTTGAAAGAGAACCTTACCTCTGGCTGAAACTAGACAACTTCCAAAGTAAAGCTTTGTTAGAGCCACTGGAAATTTCCTAACCTGGTCCATTTTCCTTCCCCACCCCTAACCCATGGCTGGGCCAGCCCTGCGCAGGCAGTATAATTGGAAATCATTGAATGATCATAATTGGAGTCCAAAGACTTTTTCTCCTGGGACAAACAAAAGCTTGTTCCCTATGGTTTGAGATATAGGAATCAGTTCAAGTATTTTTAAAGATGTGCTGAAGAATCTGGCCCAGTTGCTAGGTCTGGGGGTCTGCTCCCAATGGTATACTTGTTCCATTGCCACCAAAGAGCCCACCAGACTGTCAGGTCCTCGGGGACAGAGCTGGTTCTTATTCACCTTTCTGTCCTCACTTATCATACAATGCCCAGCACTGAGAGGCTGCTGAATGAGGACAAATTAAATTGAATCAATCAAAATAAATGGATAAATAAATAAATTGAATCAATTGTTTATCAGGGATTAAGGCCTTAGGTCTTTAACCCTGATTCCCCCTTTACCTCTCTGCATTCCAAGGATGAAGACTGGTGTGGGTACAGCCCACAGCCAGGGGGAGTTGTTCAGTGGCTTAGCTATATTCAGCCACCAAGTAGAACGTGTCCTACAGACTGCAAGCCAAGTTTCAGGTGCCCTCTAGCTTTCAAAGGAGGAGCAGTTACTCCCTGATATCTGTGTGCCTTGTCCTTCCTTCCATCTTTCTTTTAATCTTCCCATCTTTCTTTTTATTTCTGCTTACATTTCTGCTAAACTCATGGGTATCAAGTTTGTCTTGTAATTTGAGAACTCTGGAGTTCTCAAACTGTGTTTCACATGTACTTACCACTATTAAATGTTTCATTTAAGTTCTTTAGTGTCCCAAACCCTGCCATTTGCAGATCATCTTATGTTATACAATAAATAAATAAATAAATAAAAATAAACAAGAACGGTTTGCATTTCATTGCTGCGTCACTTCTTAGTATCTTAGGACTTAGCCTGTCTGGGTCAGTTACATGAGAAGGGGGCTCAGGACTGGTCATTAAAGCTATATTTGGAGCACAGACCCATGGCTAAATAACAGTTTTGCCAATATGACACTTATACTGCAAGTCTGTGCAGCAGAGATTTATTAATTGACCAACTGTTCTGGATAGGACAAACAGGTCAAGTTGTTATTAACATGCACTTACTATTCCTGTTTCAAGCGTAATCTACTGCGTAAGCATTTACCATGAAACTGGAGAATTTAGTTGGTCCAAAAAAAGAAAAAAAACCAGTCCCTTAGAATGTTCTAATTTCTTTCTCATCTTTCTTTCTTTTTTTTTTTCTGACCTCTCCTTCATTTGTCCCTTTCTCCTGATCTTTTTCCTTTGTTGGTTTATGCTTATGCTGCCTGCTCCATTCTGGGTTTCCCTTGGGTCCGTCTTTCCCCTAGAGCTCCCTGTGCCTCCCTGAGGTTCCCTTTCCTGTTTTAGGGAGTCATCAGCGAGACTTGACCATCTCTCCTTGCTGCTTTTTGGTCCTGCTGTCAAAATCTGTCCAGTGTATTCTGGGGCACATGCACTGCCCATGTTCTCCACACAAGCAAAGGACACAGAGGAGAAAAACCATGTGGGATGATAAAAGTATTACAGGAATAGAAAACATATCACATTAGTACGGAAGTGCTACCCCGAAGTAGAACAAAAGACAGATGAGAGGACACCTTCTTTAACAGGAAGTGGGAGAAGGTGAGAAACTAAGAGCCCAGCGGAGAGGCTTCCCAGTAGCTTTGTCTGAGTGGCAAGGACAACTCACCCCAGAGGCATAGTCACCCGTGATTTGCACTCTCTGAAAATCGGGCACGTTCTCGTAGGTTGGAGATGAAGAAATGCATTCGTCAATGTGGGACAGTTTGGTGGAAGATGTCTCACTTATTGGAATTGACAAATTAACGGTCTTCCGTCCTTGGAAACGTTTTTTCCTGGGTTCAAAAATTTAAAAATAAGAGGACTTAAAGTGAAGTCTTCATCAGGATTTTTCATTGTAATAGATGAATGTTTCATTATGCTATTTCATTTTGAGGACAAAAAATGAAAATTAGAAATTGGATTAGGTGTCAGAAATAGAATACAAGTATAGAGGGAGAAGATGTCACTGAAGACACCTGACAAGGGCTCCTTTTGGTGTTTCTCAGAACAGTGGCCCTTAGGGAACATGACACCATTCCTCCCAGGTAGTCCACTCCCAGCAGAAGAGGGAGTCTAAGTGCTCCGATGAGCACAGGCTAACAGTTACGAATTGTGTCACTTTGCTCATGTTTCTTAAATTCTTCAAGCTTCCATCTCCGGGGGGGGGGGGGGGAAGTGGTGCAGTAATAGCTACCTTAGAGAATTTCTGTGAGATTGATTTCCTATTTAAAAATTTTTTTTCGTAGTTGTATATGGACAAAATGCCTTTGTTTTATTTGTATGTGGTGCTAAGGATTGAACCCAGTGCCTCACACATGGTAGGCAAATGCTCTGTCACTGAGCTACAGCCCCAGCCCCCCTGTGACATGTATGTATATAAAATCCCTAGCACAGTACCTGGATTGATATTATTTCCTCAAATCAACAAATACTTATTGAGTTTCTAATTTAACACAAGCCTTGTGTGAGGTTCTTTGGGTGATGCCAGAGGAGGTGGTTTGTTGTTTTTTTTTCCTAAGAGACATAAGACCACAGGATAGGGCTGTGGGATGAGGGAAGGGCTGAACAGTGGGAATTCCAGCTAAGTGGTCAGTGTAGGTTTGAGGACTAAAGTGTGGCAGGTCGTCACAGTGAATCCCAGGGTAGTTCAAGTAAAAGAAAATAAGACTTTGTCAAGAGGGATCTCTGAAGACTACTCGGGAGAGGCAATAAATATGCATTTGAACACAGAATGGGCAGGGCAGAGGGCAGGAATGGAGAGCGGCATCCCTAAGGCCAAGAAGCTGTCAGACTGGCTGGAAGCAAGACTCAGGTCAGGAAACATAACACTTAGGTTGGCTAGGGAGAAGATGTAGCCTCGTGAGTTCCAATTTATGTGACAGTTGCATATAGGCCAAGTAAATTCAGGACAGCTGTTGGCCCACTTTGGTTTGGAACAACTGCATAGGTAGCTTGAGGCTTCGACTCAGGGAGATGTGGGTGAGGGTCTGGGGCTCACTGCTTTCTTCTTTCTCTGTCATTGGTTCTCACCCTAAAATACAGTGAATGGGGTCGGGAGAGAGTTTCTAATTCTGGCAGAGTTCTTTCTCTGAGTTGAACCATTGTTCAGACTGAACTATATCTGAACAATTCCTTGTGCTCAGGTACTAAGCAGTCCCCCCACGCCACTTACCTCCTGCCCTCTGTAGAGGTGGCCAGAGTCTCCATGTGGAATATGTGTGCTTGCATCTCGTGAAAAGAAATTGGACAAATCTCATCCACGTCAAAGGGAGAGATCTCATGACGGCCTCCCTCATCTTTGACTTCAGAGGCAAACACTTTTTCAGCAAAACTACGCATCGCGTCATCGATTTCTAAAAGAGGTTTTTTTATATATGAGGGTTCAAGTCTCTTTTCTCAAAAAAATCTGAGAGTTTCTGCTAGGTGCGAGGCACAAGACTGTACTGAGTGCATGGCTTCCCTGCTCTCCAACCTGGGTTGCTGAAACACAGCAGAGTTTGGGCCTTACTCTCCATTAGTGCATCTCTCTGGGCGTGCAGCTTAGAAATCTGCTTTCAGATACATGGGTCAGATTCTCACAGCACATTTCTGGAGGGTCCTAAAGATGGGACTGTGCTCTCGTAGCTCCAACACTTAATGGAAAATTGCCTGTTGCTGTCAGGGCTAAATTGGATTTCATAGTGACCAAGTGGCAGTTGTTCCCATGAGGCTAGTGGTCTTACAGATGGTTTTGAAGATGTGGATATGGTTGTTGGTCCTTTAGGGATTTTCCTAAGAAGAATCAATGACCCCAGCAATCACTGGGAAATCTGTTAGTCCTAAGAAATAAATGTCATCTTCTTCGTTTTGGTGCTGGGCATTAAATTCAGGACCTCACTCGTGCTAGGCAAGTGCTCTATCGGTGAGCTACATTCCCAGCAGAATTTTCATCTTCTTAAGACAGAGATTGTGTTTCTCTCACACACCAAATCTCGTTTTTGTCCCCCAAATCCTAACAATTTGGTGACATGCTGCTATGTGGGAGAGGGGAGCCACCAAAATTTATTACCATATGTTCGGACTTCCCTTCCTTGTGGCCATGGCCTTCCATAATGAATGACCTTTGGAAAACCAATTTGCTTTTACATGCCTTACTTTTCCCTTTCTTAAAATCAGGGGAGAGGGTGGCTCTCAGCCTGGCACTGGATGACTCTAAAACCTTTAGAATATAAGAGAACCAGCTTCGTCATTCAGAGTAGTGAGGATCATCAAGTATCTGCTTCACTGTTAAATTCCACTGTTAAATTCTCTCCAGATACCCAGTTGTTTACATTTGACTTGTCATCACTTGTAATGCTTGTAAAAGCCTCTTGGTATTTCCAAAAAGAGCTGGTAAGGAGTCATGAGAATGGTAAACCATTAACTATTTGAGGCAATAGTAGAAGACAGAAACATTACTCATCCGATGGCAAGAGAAAGATCTCTCCAGGCCACCAATGTCTACGCAGGCCTCCAAAAGGCAACATTTCCAATTCTGACTTAAGTAAATGTAATCAATTCAAGGCTCTGCTCTGCACTTACCAGCTCCTCCTTCTTCCTCTGTTTCAGTTTTCTTATCTGTCAAGTGAGGACACTAATACCTACTGAACCTCCCTTGCACAGCTGTTGTGACACCAAGTAAGTTAATGAATGTGGAAATACTTTAAGGAAAATAAAGCACCTGATTAAATTGAATGATGTAATTTGGTGACATTGGTCAAACACACATTCAGTATTTAGGGTTAGCTTTGGGCTATTAAGGAAATGGCAAATGATATGACTTTGTTTAGAATGAAGCCTTCTTTAGAAACGATGGTAACTCACTCATAACTTCAGCACCACTGTCAGGTTAGCGAGTTTTAAAATCCTGATTTGTCACAGCAGAGTTAACAGAGAAGCTCACTCTGTTGGCTGAACTTCATGCATCTCTCTGCCTCACTAAACTCAAACACTTCCTGAAACTGAAAAGCATCTTTGGAAGCTGTTAGTTCTTTGGCAAGCATCATGATCCACGAAGAAACAAATGGTGCCCTAAGAAAGTATATCTGATGGCTAAGAATGCCTCACTGCCAGTTGATCCCCAGAAATAGCATCATTCTTTCCTAAGCATCACAAGTAGGCATGTGCACCTCACAGATGAGTGGCAAGCAGGAGTTAGAAGAGGCTTCATGCACCATGAAGGGCAAATGGAAACAGACCAGTCAGTTATGATGATGAGGATGAGGATGATGATGCAAACAGCTTGTCATGCAGGGTCTGTGGGGATGCTGCTAACAACCTATGGAAGGACGGTATGGAACCAATGCCCGGAGACCAGATCCAATTTGCTGATGTCTGGCTCTTCCAGAACAAGTATTCATTATCTGAGACGGCACATACATATCTTTTTTATAGCAGGGATTGAACCCAGGGGCACTTCACCACTGAACTACATTTCTAGCCCTTCTTATTTTTTTATTTTGAGACAGAATATCATTAAGTTGTTTAGGCCCTCACTAAATTGCTGAGGCTGGCCTTGAACCCACAATCCTCCTGCCTCAGCCTCCCAAGTCATTGCGATTATAGGTGTGCACCACATACCCGACAGTTTCAGATCTTTAAATATTATTGTTTTTACTAAGATTATGGCTCCCTAAACCACTACAAGCAGTTGAAAAGTAGAAATTCTATTCTCGAGTAGTTTATATGATGACCCAAAATTATATGGTCGCTATTTCCTTCCACTGAATCAACTAGTTGTTTTGATGACTTCACACAACCACAGCTGAAATTTAATCCCTAACTCAAGAGCTCTCCCATCAAAAATACTTCTGGGAGTAGTGGCAGTTGTGGGAAGGAAAGAGTGAAACTGGTATTTCAAAAGATAAGCAGATAAGATTTAATGACAACTTGAATTCAGGAAGTAAAGGAGAAATAATCCCCTCAGGTTTGTATGGATAATTACTGACTTCTTTTTGAGCAAGTTGTTAGAGATAATAGAACATCCAAGTAGCAATGTCTTTTTTTTTTTTTTTTTTTGGTACTGGTGCTTAACCACTGAATCACACCCTGAGCCCTTTTGATTTTTGATTTTGCTACAGAATCTCATTAAGTTACTTAGGCCTTCACTAAGTTGCTGAGTCTGGCCTTGACTTTGCAATCCTCCTGCCCCAGCCTCCCTAGTCTTTGGGATTTCAGGCTTGCATCACCACACCCAGACCGAGTGACAATGTCTTGACAGATACATCTGGATTGAGAACAGACAAGAGAATAGGAAAAAAAAAAATAGTACAATGGTGAAGCAGAAAGAATACTGGATTAGGAATAAGAAAAATTGACTGTGACAGCTGGGTGGCCTTGGGCAAACCAAAAGATCACTGGGAGCCTCAGTGTTCATCATCATAAAAGGAGAATGTTAATAACAATAATATCCACTTCAGAGAGTTGTTGTCAAGATTAAACAAGAAATACTTTAAAAGCTACACAGTACCATCCAGAAATTGGAGATCATTATTATTAACACAGGGAGTGCAAGACTCTTGAGAAAAGGAATGTCATGCTTGCTCTCCACCCACCAGGTTCAGAAAAACATGTATATTTCTCAGCAGTGCCTTATTCACGTGTGGGAGATGAGGTAGTAGATCTTTCATCTGCCACATGTTATCTCACAGAGGAACCCAGAGGCAGACCTACTATCCAGTCAGCAAAAGGACAAGATAGGAGATGGAGGGCAACATCCAATGAGGTTATGATTTTATCTAAAATAAGTTTGTATTTTAATTAATCACAAAAATTCACAAAAATTTTTTTCTGCATTGGGGTTGACTCAATAGGTCCCTTTGGCTAATCTATGTCTTTTATTTACTTATTTATTTTAAATTTTTTAAATTGGTTGTGTCTTTTATTTTAAAATATCAAATAAGTGCCCAGTGAAGTTTTCTTTGAAAAATATCAGAGTTTTTGTTTTGTTTTTGGAATCCAGAAAATCCAAGAGTTCATTTGCTACTTTTTGGGGATATCTGTGGTCATTATTTATCTTTATTGACTTTCGAGGGAATCATTTAATAAACACTGCTGAAAAATAACCATGTTTATGAATTAAGAAATAGTATCACATTTTTAAATTGATACTCTGGCAAAATAGCAGGAGAAACCGTCCAAGATACTCACGTTTTCCTTCCGCTGTATGAAATAAAATAAAACAAGATTCATTATATGAACAACTGACAGAAATCATAGTAGCTATTAACCAGTACTTTGGAAAACACTGGTTGGCACAGGAACAAGGTGGTAGGAGTTATGCCAGCTCAGTCTTTTAGCCTACTTGAAGTTTGCTGTCTTAGGAAATGCTGGGAAGATGGTTATCATATAGCTCTTCATTTCCTTTTCTTCTCTCTCTCTCTCTCTCTCTCTCTCTCTCTCTCTCTCTCTCTCTCTTTTGTGGTACTGGGGATAGAACCAAGGGACTTGCACATACTAGGCAAGTCACCTGGAACTTGTGATCCTCCTGCCTCAGCCTCCTGAATTGCTGGGATTACAGGTGTGCACCACCACGCCTGGCTTCTAATATGTCTTTAAATACTTGTGTATAATCTTAAAAAGGCTTTTTGTTTGTTTGTTTGGTGGTGATGTGGATTGAATCCAGGGTCTCATGCATTTAATGCTCCACCAATGAGTCACATCTCCAGCCCAAAAAAGTACTTCTTGTAAAATGTGAATTAAAAAATATTCTCATATGATGCTGGTAGAAGGTAAACTAAAACAGTTCTTTTGGGAAACAATTTAGTAACACCTACCAAATAGTCATTTCTGAGAAGCAATCCAGTGAAAATTCTCATTTAACACAGGAAAAACTTTAGGTATAATTATTGTCAGAGCACATTTATACTTACCCAAAACTATAAAGAATCTAAGAGATTAGCTAAGAAAATTAGAATATTATACAGCCATGTAAAATGGTGTTAAGGAAGAGTTTGAAACACCATAATAAAAGTGGTTAAGTTATAACAGTACGCCAAAGCATTATCCTGCCAAACAAAGGACTAAAAAAATTACATACATAATATAAAGATCACTGTGTTTTTAAAAAGGTTCTTTAATTTTGCATGGGAAATAGATTGAAAAGAAAAACACTAAAATGTTAAGAGCATATTTTGGGGGTAATGGGACTGTGGTGATATTTTTCTTGTTACTACTTTCTAATTTTTGTAAATGAGTGTTTATGACTTTCATTTATCCATATAATTTTATCTTTATTTCCTATGAAACATGCATTGCTTTTATAATGAAATACTTATAACATTATTAGTTTTTAAATTACTCTGTGTACAAACCCGGAATGTGAACCATCAGAATACCCAGATTGGGTTAAAATTCACATTGTGCTCATGATTTTTAGCTAGAAATATTGTGTAGGACCCTTCTCAGAACTGGACTGTACAGATTTTGTTTAGACTAGCAGAGTAGATATCAACTATCTCACAGTTTTCTAAGGGATCATCAAAGATGCCATTTTAGAAAATTACCCTCCTCCCCAAACTAAAAACAAACAAAGCTTGAAAATGTCTTGCCTCTTTCTAACATGTATTGTTAAAGCTATTGGGAATCTTAAATAAAGGATCATCAAAGCTGATGTAACAGTTAAAGGAAGGGTTGCAAATGAATTAAAAAAAAATGAGTTATCCAAACACTTTTGTACACCTACCTGGAAGTTTGAACAGAGGCATTGTTGCTGGAATCCTCGATTCTAGGATAGCACAGTAGAAAGGAAGAGATGTGGGGATGGCTGGCTGACACTTTAAAACACCCTGACACACACTTTATTATTTTGCTTTTACCCCCTGTAACCTGACCTTCTCTGCTAAAAGGAGAGAGATGAGCTTCAGACCTATTTATAACTTTAGGCAATTGACAGTGAAAAACAGGTGAAGCCTTCAGTCTTTATGTGGGGATTTTAGAAAAGATATCTGCAGGGGGATTGCTTTGGAATTCACTTCCGCATCTTCCTGCAGATTGGATTTTCATCAAGTGTATTCCCCTCCCCTCCCGAAGCTCATTCTTTTATTTTTTGGAGTGTAGTTTTCTTAGATGATGTGACCATGGATGGTTATTTTCTATTGAAACACAATGAAGTCTTCCAGGTTTCCGAAAAGTCAAGATCCCCAGGATTTCCCATAAAGAGGACAGTTTTCTGTGGTTGGTGAATATGCCACAATGTTCATCAAGTCCTTGGAACTAACACACACAAGCATGTTCACACAACTTTTGAAAACCTAACCTAGGATAATTTCAAGTGAGGATGTACAGACTTTCTTGTGTCATTATTTCCTAAACAATATAGAATAGGGACTATTTGAATAGCATTTACATCATATTAAGTATTGTAAAGAATACAAAACAAGGTGATTTCTAGTGATCGAAGAGGATGTTCAGCTTTCGGTAACTGAGCACAGGAGTGGCTCTAAGAACTGTTTAGCAGCAGCTGGGTGTGGTGGCGCATGCCTGTAATCCCACTGCTGAGAAGCATCCTCAGCAATTTATCCTGGTACCAAACAAAACAGAACTGTTTTAGGAGTATAGATTTCAGAGTGAAGAAAACAGTTCTGGAGTGAACCTAACTACTCCATGTTTTTAATCCTCCAAAACACACAAACCCATCCATTTCAGGTTCTAAACCTTACCTTTTTTTTGGTGGTGCTAGGGATTGAACCCAGGACTCTGTGAAGGGTAGGCAGGGACTCTACCAACTGACCTATATTCCCAGACCCTCTCAAACCTAACCTCTTAATGAGATTAGCTCAGGTTGTTGTGCTGAAGGACAGAGTTTGAGAAGGTGCATGCCAAGACACAGGGAAGAAAGGCAGAAATCAGACCATGCAAAGGATTTTTGAATTTAATCATTATAGCATTATAATTATCATCAGGGACCTACTGAAGTGCTTTAGTTTTTTGTTTCTTTGTTTTTCTTCGCCCAGTGCTGAGGATCCAAACCAAGGGCCTCATGCATGCTAGACAAGTGCTCTACCCCTGTGTTACATCCCTAGCTGCCCCACTGATTTTTTTAAAAAATGGAATAACAATAATAATACAGTTGGCTCTCCATATCCATGAGTTCTGCCCCCATAGCTCGACAAACCACGATGGAAAATATTTTTTAAAAATTGTCTCTGGCCAGGCATCATGCTCATCCCTGTAATCCCAGTGATTAGAAGGCTGAAATAGGAGGATTGCATATTTGGGGCCAACCTCAATAATTTAGCGAGGCCCTCAGCCACTTAGCAAGACCTCGTCTCAAAATAAAAGTTAATCAAAGTCTGGGATGTAGCACAGTAGTTAAGCATTCCTGGGTTCAATCCCCAGTACCAAAAAAAAAAAAAAAGTGAACATACTGAACATGTACAGACTTTCTTGCCATTGTTTCCTAAACAATATAGAATAACAACTATTTGAATAGCATTTACATCATATAAGTAATCTAGAAATTCAAGTACGGGAAGACATACCAAGGTTATATAAGAGACTTATGCATCTTCTGTTTTGGAATCTGCAAAGGTACCCGGAACCAACCCCCTGCAGATATCAAAGGACAGTTGTATTAATAATAAAAAAAACCCCACATTTTATCTATACAATTTGTACCAAGCACCTTTCATTTATTATTATCATTATTAGGTACTGGGGATTGAACTCAGGGGCACTTGACCACTGAGCCATATCCTCAGTCCTATTTTGTATTTTATTTAGAGACAGGGTCTCACCAAGTTGCTTAGCGCCTCACTTTTGCTGAGGCTGGCTTTGAACTTGAAATACTCCTGTCTCAGCCTCCCAAGCTGCTGGGATTACAGGTGTGCACCAGCTTCATTTATTACTTAGTCTCACAACAATTCCATATTGGCAGATACTATCTTCCTTTTATTTTTTGCAGGGCTGGGGATTGAACCTAGGGGATTGAACCCTAAGTGCATGGTCTCTACCACTGAGCTACATCCCAGCCCCTATTTATATTCATTTTCTCAAATGAGGTATCTGAGGCTCAAAAATATTAAGTGACTGGCCACACTCATGCAACAGTCAGGATTTGAACCTAAATTCATTTTAAGCTAAAGCCTGTGTTCTTTACTTCTGCATGACACTGCCTGTAACGTGCTTCATTTGCATCTTAGGAAGACCCCTTTGGTCATAATAAGTTAGGAAGGGAGGAAGGCTAGAGGAAGGCAGACCACTTAGGAGATTATTTTTAAAAGCTTTTTTTTTTTTTTTAATGGGGAATTAAACCCAGGGGCACTTTACCATAAGCTACATCTTATTTTTCTTATTTTGAAACAGCGTCTCACTAAATTGCTGAGTGCTCACCCAATTGCTGGTGGAGTGCTTGCCTAGCATGTTTGAGGCACTGGGTTCAATTCTCAGCACCACATATAAATAAAATAAAATAAACTTTGGATTCTCCTGCCTCAGACTCCCAAATCACTGGGATTACAGGTGTGTGCCATTACACCCAGCTTATTTTGACCTTATGAAAGATGATGAAGGCTTAAACTGAGGCTATTGCTTATAGATTTGGAGTGGAAGTGATAGATGCCATATATTTTTAAATATCTTTGTTTATTAATTTATTTTTACGGGGTACTGAGGATCGAACGAACCCAGTGCCTCACGCGTTCAAGGCAAGTGCTCTACCTCTGAGCTACGGCCCCAGTGCCAGAAGCTATATATTTTGAAGACAGGATCACAAATGAAAAATGAGATAAGGCATGTAATGGAAAAGGAGTTTTGAGGTGAAGTCCCAAATTTCCTTGTGGGTGGTCTATAGGAGAGTGGTGCCAGTCACTTAAGACAGAGGAACTTTATAAGACTAAGGCAAAAACCAATGCATTTGGCTCTAATTCATCAAAGTGGAAATTTTCAGCAGGCAACTATACTGCTCTGAAGCTCTAGGATGAATCCTGAGCTGGAGATAGATTTGAGAGTCATCAGCAATGACGCTGGTTAAAACACTGATCATCAGTTACATCCCTTTGAGAGAATGAATAGAGAGAAAAGAATAAAGAGCCACAGGTAGATTCTAAAAGATAACCAATATCTAAGTGTTGGTTATAGAAGGAAAAACCCATTTAAAGGGAAAAAAAAAAGATAAAATGAAGAGGGAGGGAGGAGGGAGACGAACTGGGAAATATTGGATCATGGAGACTATCGTGGGAAAAAGTCTGAAACAGATGGTTTAAATGTCACAAAGCTTCATGAGATGACAGAAAACAATGTCTAAGCTTTGACAATAGAAAGGTTGGTGATCATTGTGGGCTCAGTTCAGATCCTCCAAGAAGATGCCCACACAAGACATGTAAGAGATTTATTGCTTGTGAAGGATAAAAGGGAAGAGAGCAAGAGTAGGCAGAGAGGACCTTCAGATAGGCTGCGATTCAGGCCTGACACTTGTGAGAGGAGAGAAGGAAGGAAAGAAGGCTAAGTAAAAAGAGCCCAGGGGCTGGGGTTGTAGCTCAGTGGTGGAGTGCTTGCATGTGTGAGGCACTGGGTTCAATTCTCAGCACCACATAGAAATAAAATGAAGCTCCATCCACAATTAAAAAAAAAAAAAAGTGCCTCAGACTGTAGTCTGAGGTTCCCAGCGAGGCCAATGAGGAATTCTCCAGCAAAGATTGCCCATGAAAGAAGTCCTGCATAGAGCAGACTTGGTCCGACTCTAACGTCTCTCCATGTTCATCGTTTGCTGTGGGGTGGGGAGGGCCAGGACTGTGCATGGGTTCAAGATCACAGATGAAGCCTGGCGTGATGGCGCTTGCCTGTAATCCCAGTGGCTGGGGAGAATGAGGCAGGAGGATCATGAGTTCAAAGCCAGCCTCAGCAATAGTGAGGCACTAAGCAACTCAGTGAGACCCTGTCTCTAAATAAAATACAAAATAGGGTTGGGAATGTGGCTCAGTGGTCAAGTGCCCCTGAGTTCAATCCCCAGTACACCACTACCACCTGACCCCTGCCAAAAAAAAAAAAAAAAAATCAACAGATCAAAAGAAAGGTGAGGCAACTGGAAGCTGTCAGCCAGCTACGCTCCTCAAAACAATCTAAGGGCATCTTCTCCCACCTTTGTGGCTACCGCCATTGAAGAAATTCTGGAGATCTTATGTGAGTGGAGGTTTGGTGGTGGTTAGCTAAAGAGTGGAAAGAGAATGGGGAAGTGCAAACTCTTCTTTGATAATGATGTTGTCAGAAAATGGAAGGAGAAAAAGAGAGTGATAGAGAAGTAAGATCGAGGGAGCATATTTATAGGATTTGGGGGGCAGAGATAAGTAGATAGGGGACATAGACGCATAAAGAGTGTAGAAACTAGTGGAGAGAACACGTTTCCAGTCCTAGAGGATACAGGAGGAGGAGGAGGAGGAGGAGCAAGACCCAGGTGAAGAGAGGGGAGGCCTCTTCCCTCTGAGTCTGGAGTGGAGGAGGGGAGAAGGATGCAGAAGCACCTGGGAACGTGGGGGTAGTAAACTGGGGGTGTTCAAACCCTGTATCATTTTTTAAAATTTTGGATTCATTGATTAAATATATTAATGAATATAAAGTTGTTAGCATGCAGAGATACCCAGAAAAAAAAAGTTGATAGTTTTAAACAACAAGGGAAAGTACACAACAAAGATAGTCCTTACTATCAAATTAAGAATGAGAAGATCTCAAGAGACTGACCGTCTCTTTTTGTGAATTCTACCTGAGGCAGGTTGAAAAAAAGTGA